ATTATTTTAAACTATAATACTTCATTACAACGTAGTGGACCTACCTTTTAATTAGTCTATGGAATATGAATATAACACATTATTATGTTGTACACGTTTACGTCCTATTTCCCCCGTGCTGAGATTACTAGCAGACGCTGTGTTCTTATTGGACGTGGCCTTATTTCCTTTGATCTTGTTTTCCACAAATTAAGCTATCGCCTGTTTTGGTTGACCCGAAGGCCTTAGAAAATTATAGCCAATTGTGGAATGATCTATTTACTAACACACTCTGGAATACCCCTTGAACTTTCTGTAGAACCGACTATAAAAGCAAAAAAAGAGCAATATTGAGGACAGATATTCGGATAGATATTTTTTCACTTCACGATACAGGTGTATTATTCTGTGTGTGCTCATATGCGTTTTTTTTTTTTTGCATTCATCATTGAACATTATTAATTGGCACAGTGTACTAACTGTGTACCGGTACAAGACATCCCATACTCTGTAAGTTGATGATTGTAATTATTTTTCTTTTTTTTTCTAATTATTTTAATAACCAAATTAATATTCACGATACAGGTGTATTATTCTGTGTGTGCTCATATGCGTTTTTTTTTTTTGCATTCATCATTGAACATTATTAATTGGCACAGTGTACTAACTGTGTACCGGTACAAGACATCCCATACTCTGTAAGTTGATGATTGTAATTATATTTCTTTTGTTTTCTAATTATGTTAATAACCAAATAAATCTTATTACTTGTGATTAAAACTGTTTTGAGTGTCGTATTTTTACTATTTTATTTTTTCACTTGGTATCGTCCTTTGTTATGCACTGATAATAACGAGGCATAAAATAAAAATTTGAGATTAGTTTCTCCCAATAGAAGGCAGTGCCTAACAATATAAACAAAACGTCATTGTCTACTTAAAACATTTCGCGTATTCCAACTATAATTTAACGGTATCGTTATCAGAGACGTAGCACTTACGATTCGTCCAGTTTTCTTCATCAGAAATATTTTAAATACCCTTTTCCACGAAAGTTACTGTCAATTTAATAATTTTTTAAAGAATTCTTATTTGCCAAATAGAAATGTATCTTTTGCTTCAATAAATCTAATGATATGTATTTACATATTTTCTGGTATAATAATAATATTAGTATAACCTTATTTTATCGCGGTAATAATAGCAGGCCCTTTGCGATAATCTCTACCTGCTATTGCTAAAACTTATCACAATTCTTTTTTTTTTAAAGGTGCCTTTACGTAGTGATGTTTACGTTCCAGACCTAATTAAAAGTTTCAAGAAGTCATTTCTTCTGCTATATATTATACGCTTAGCGTACACGCTTTTGCGCTTCTAAAATACTTTTTTTTTCCTCTAATCATAATCCAAAAAGCATCAAATCCAAATGATGGCTAAATAAATTATTTTTGTCACCACAGGTTTTTAATATTCAGCTGATTAGTGAAATATTTCAGATGTCGTGTGTTTTCAAATTGTGAAAGGTGCGGCCTACCCTACCACATTTCGTTCCCTTAAACTAATTTTCTTTCTTCAAAATAATTGTGAAAAGTTAATCTTAAATTTACACACAAACAACCTCTATATAACATTTGTATGATATTTTACATTATAGGAATTTGATTTTATTGATAGCCTAATTAAAAATGTAACCAAAATTTTTCCTTTTTTCCTACTAAAGTTTTTGAAAATCTTAAAACAAAGAATTCTTTTTATCTAACGAATTATCTTTTAACCGTTTTTCACCGACTGTAACAGCCTTGAGGGTCTTTATTTTGACAGCAATCTCAATAACAATATACACACAGTTAACTTTTCATAAATATAAACAAAAATATATTTACTATTTTTGAAAGATAATATGAACTAATCTCCATTTTTCAAAATAAATTTTAACGTGTGCAAAATTATTTGGTTTCAATATTGATGGGTAGACTTATGTACCCACGATTTGTTAACGCCAATCCTTTTCTTATTTGGTTAACATACGTTTATTTGTAAATTGGGAATGCACTATCTCTTTTTCACAACTGTAACATCAATTTATTTAGAGATATCGTTATTCGCAAAAAAAAATATTAAATAATAGCCTAATTCCTACTTCAATATCTACATAGCAAAGAAGTTGACTTATTTATCAAATGCATTCCTTTATTCTGAGGCGTATCTTGTGCTGTCTGGGGCAAAATGAAAGTATCGAGTCCCTCCCCCCAGATTTTTATAAGAAAATTTCAAATACAATCATCTACGAGATTGTAGCAACTGCGTACGCAGACATTTTTTCTTTCTTTTTTTCCCCCTTTTTTCCCCCAAATTTAAATGTGTTTTTTACTTGGATGAGTGATAAGTGCATAAGTGAATGCTCTTTGGCCTAAGGAGTGCAATAACCTTTCGTTAACTCTGTCACTTTAACAACCATAACTTTCCTTTAACTCTGTCACTTTAGCGACCATAACCTTTCTTTAACACTGTCACTTTAGCTACCATAAAATTCCTTTAACTCTGTCACACTAGCTACTATTACCTTCCCTTAAATCTGTCACTGTAGCTACCATAACCTTCCTATAACTATTAATTTAGGTACAATAACCTTCCTTTAACTCTGTCACTTTAAAAACAATAACCTTCCTGTAACTCTGTCACTTTAGCTACCATATTGTTCCTTAAACTCTGTCTTTTTAGCTGCCATAACTTTCCTTTAACTCTGTCACTTTAGCTACGATTACCGTCCCTTAAATCTGTCACTTTAGCTACCATAACCTTGCTATCACTCTATCAATTTAGCTACCATAACATTTCTTTAATTCTTTCACTTGAGCTACCATATCCTTCTTTTAACTCTGTCACTTTAGCTACCACAACCGTCCTGTAATTCTGTCACTTTAGCTACCATATTGGTCCTTAAACTCTGTCTTTTTAGCTGCCATAACTTTCCTTTAACTCTGTCACTTTAGCTACTATTACCTCCCCTTAAAAATCTGTCACTTAAGCCACCATAACATTCCTTAAACTCTGACACTTTAGATACAATAACCTTCTTTTATCTCTATCACTTGAATCACAATATTATTCCTTTAACTCTTTCACTTTAGCTACAATAACATTCCTTTAACGCAGTCGAGATACAAGCTCCACTTTTTAACCTATTCTGGCATTTGAATCTACAGCTTTCTTTCTAGTTATAAAAAAAACAACAAAAAAACAATTTCCTTTTAATGGTGACAAATTATCTGATTGACTCTCCTGAAGAATCTGATGACCAGAGCACAGTTCCGTTGAACAATATCTTCTCAATAGAGGAGAACAATTCGTGCTGATCAGACTTAATTTATTGGCCAAATGAGATAGGTACCTATCCGATAGGTACATATCCGAAATCAGTATACCATCTTTCACAAGCGTCAATAACAAGAGGTTTTTCACTTTTTATAAAAAAAAATGTTAATATATCTATATATCGGAAATCAACATGTTCTAGTTCTGTCATGTGGTGAGAAGAGCGTTCAGGTTGAGGCAACAGGAAATATAAAATATGAAAGGAAAGAACAAAAGAAAAACATGAAACAAATTGGGGGGGTATTTTGGTCGAGAGCGTAAAAGGAACAAAAATGACGTCACACAATAAAATCAGAACTAAGGTTGGTTGGTAGGAGAGGACACGAAGTTATTCAAATCTAACATCAAATCGTTTCTAATGAAGCTTTTCATGTCGTCTAAGAATTTTAGCGCTGTGATTATAGATTTCGAGAATAATAAAATACATTAAGCTATACTCTAATAATTTAAGACTTTACTGTTAAAAGTGCTTATGTCACAGAAGGAACATTTTGAGATGTTCAAGTTCAAAATATAAATTCATTTTGTCTATAAATTGTGATAATTTTCATAGCAAGTATTGTTTAAATTTTGGACTTAGATACACTTTAATATTTGTTTTAATTTCTGCAGTATACTCGGCTAAACCGGATAAGAAAAGGTCACATTTAGATTGATTTTGACACAAATGTAACTTCAGTACTTTTAGCACTAGGGTGGTCTTCAATTAAATTTTATGGAAATATTGGGAAACTATAAAGAAAAGTAATAATGGTATGACTATTTGAAAGGAAACTAATATAGGGGAAAAAAGGAGGAGAAGCCTTCACCCTGTTTAAAAACACATGAAAACAAAATCACGTCACGTGTTGTGGTTGAATAGTTTGAGGAGGAGGTCTTTAAATGGCCACGCCTACTGTCCTCAGTGGGACCAGGTGGCCATGAAGTGGCAATGAACAACAGTAATCCATTACTGGCTGGTGGCTAGTTGGGTGGGCACCAGACTCACCGCAACAATCCCCGGTCACAAATGACAAAGTTGGACCAGAACCCAAAAGACACAGGGGGAGATGTGCTGCACATCAAGTCACACCCGGTTTGTCACAGTCGGTTGTAGAAGATAAAATCACGATATTTGTAGTTTTTTAAAATTATTTTTTAAATAAATTCAGATTATTAACAGACTGTTCGGTGGTATAGTCAAAATTTAAGAACCATTTTGACAGAACCGGACAGAGCAGTCTCCACTAAACATCTGGACATAGGGTCAAGATGGGGAGTGACCAGGCAAGTGGCTTGTGTTTAAGCTGCAAAAAGGACTCCAGTGAAACAGTTGTAGCTTTTACACATAATGATGTCAAATTATATTATTCAATGTTATTGTTCTTATAAATAATTATGAAACTGCCCATTCGTGGCAAAGAAATCAGGAAATGCAACACGCTTCCAACAGGAACAGTTCAGGCGACCACATTTAACATATTCGCGTCTATTACCTCCTGACTTCCAATCCTCAGGCCCTGATACCCTCACTGAGAAGCCCTTGCAACCAGTTAATTATTCACTTCAAATCCCAGCACAGAATCATCGCAAACTCTGCTACATAAATAGGTGCCAGGATGATCAATGCATTGATCGTTGGCCCTTAAACATAGAAAAAGACAAAGTGAGGCTTCACTGAAAAGTTTATTTTTTTTTTATTTACATGTTACACATTAAATAAGACGAAATCGCCACCGTTTGAGTTTAATTATCAAGGTTGAAAGCATGTGGTAGCAGGTCCTTAACTGTGAGCTTCTGGTAGGTCAAGTCAGGCTTGGTAAGGTAGACGTCATAGTCTGCACCAAACTGAAACGAAGGGTGAATTCGGTGCTAGAAGTAAGAGTTCTGCTCGTGGTTGTAGAATGCACATCAATATCTTTATAACATTGAAATAAAAAGTATCATTTATCCGTACTCATTTTATTAATGAATTCTAATGGATCGTTATTAAAACCAACACTGTTTAAAATTAAATATTATGTAATAGGTATTGGAACAATGCAACTGTTTAATGTATTGTTTCAGTGTATGTATAGTCACCAGCCTCTACACGACCTGAAAGTATTGGTTTTACTCTAACATAAAATATCTCTGGCATGATCCAGGGCTAATTTTAACTGCAACTTAAACGACATATCACTGACAAGAAATACCAAAAAAACGTAAGCTACCAAAATCGTTACCTAACACTAACATTAACAGCCACTTGCAATATTTACTACTAATATGATCTACCACCAAAATAACTTAGCACAAACATGACCTAACCACTTTATGACCTTACTCTATTCTATAAAGAAATACCACCAACATGACTTACAATAATGTGAATTAACAATTACATAAACTAACACTTGCATGACCTACCATTATCATGGGCTACATCAAATATGACCTACCACTAACGTGATCTACCACTAACATTGACTACAACAAACATGACCTACCACTAAGATGATCTGCAACTAAAATGGGATACATCAACAATGACCTCCCACTAACATTATCTACAACTAACAAAGGCTACAGCAAAAATAAGTACCACTAATATAATCTACCATTAAGATGGGCTAAATCAAACATGACCCAATTTTACTATAATATACAACTCAAATGACAAATCCCTATCATAACCTACCACTTTATGATCTTACTCTAACAAGAGCTAACACCAAAATGACCTAACAACAAATGACCTGACACTCATAGAACCTTACACTTGCATGATCTACCACCAACATGATTTAAAACTTACATCGCCTAAACCAGACATGACTTAAACCAGACATGACTTAAACCAGACATGACTAACCCTAACATGACCTACCATGAAACCCCTCTCCCCCAACTAACATGACCTATCAATTTATGACCTTACACCTAAAAATAACGTTAGGTTAGAATTACTTTACCTAAGACGTACGGGGATTACCAATTGTATGACCTTGGAAAAACGTGACCTCAGAATTACATGGTCTAGCACTAACATGAACTTCATCTTGGACATGCACTTAATATGACCTACCTCTAACATGACCTGGCGACATGCACCACAAGGGGAACTAAAAGCTTTCACTTCGTCACTAAAAATAAAAAAAAATAAAAATGTAAATAGTTACCACATGAAGTATACAAATAAATGTTTACATTACATGTTTTAAGTTGCTGGGGAAAAAAATAATACAGACTTTCCGATTACATGTGTTATTTCAAAAATAATATTAATTTATCTGTCATCCGACTTTACAATAAGTAGATTTAATGCATTCTCAGCACTGTAAATCTTTTCTGATGTTTATAATTTAACTTAAAAAATCTCTACTTCAATTATTAGAATCATTAACTCTGCACTGGGTGAAATTCTCAGATCAAAACCTGTCTATACAGATCATATCACTTTTACTCCACCCAACCATAAAACATCCCGAAGTGTTCACAGTTCAATAACGCAGTCTTCCCCAAGAAATCTTTATCTCATTAACCACAAACCCTCAAATATCTAAAACCTACAAGTTTTCACATTTAAATTATAACATAGGATTTTAACCGTAAACGTTTCTTTACGAAAAGTAAAAAAAAAAATTATAATAATAATTAAAAATTCACAACAGAATAAAAAGTAATTTTTGACAAAATTGTAGTTTTCTGTTTCTTCATTATAGTTTTCCAAAATAAAATTGAAGATTTTTTTAAAATGCTTAACTACCTAGCAGTATAGAGGAAAATACTCATAATATTATGGGATTAATTAAGAATAACAGGTATTGGCAGATAATATATTAAGTTTAGCAATGAGATTGATGGGGAAAACACAAGAGTTTAATGTAAATGTTCTTGGATTTTTTAAGAAGCATGACACTATATTGCTCTTTGACTTGTAAAATACGAGTATGTGAGATAGAAATATAGATTTAATAATGGATAAGGGTTAACTACGTCCATCTTTGAATATCATAATGATGACCACCAACGTTCAAATAGGGGAAATCCTTTAATAAATTGTTATTATATTGCAACAATCAAGCCTAAGGTATTATTTAAAATACATTAGGCTCAAATAATTTCTCTATCCACAAATTTTAATTGATTTTTAAAATACTTTTTTTAAATTTTAAAAATAAAATATAAAAAAAAAATATTATAATATTGTAAATGCAGATTTTTAATTATCATATGTTTTTTTTAAATTTGTTAATTGTTTATCCTTAATTTAAAATTATATTTGTACGTGTTGCTTAACTATTGAAAGGGCATTAATTTGACTTTTTTTACATATTTTTGTTTCTCCCTTGGAATTATTTTTTTGTTTTTCCCCATACGTTCAAATATTGATTACGTCATTATTTGAGAGTGACTTAAAAACAAAATGAAAGATGATTTCGTTCCACTTACAAAGCAATAGCTATTGCCTGGAAATTCTTTTTACCCTCAGAAACAGCTTTAAATATTGCTGTCCTCTCTGCGCAGTTCGTCAGTCCATAGGAAGCATTTTCTACATTGCATCCTGCAAATTATTGGTCAGCAATAAGTAGTTATTCGTTTTCCTAAAATGTATATAGATTGAGAACAATCCTAGACGAATCCTAATTATGCCTGCATATGTTTATGTTTCAATGCAAGTGAGTCAGGGTTTCTCAAATAAATTTACTTAAGTTAAAGCAATCTAATGATTTTTAGATTATATTATAAATACTTCGTCTTATCATATACCGACAAGAGATTATAGTATATGAATTTGAGAATGTTTAGATCCGCTGTGTAATTGTAAACGTGATAGGATTGTATTATGAAATATTTATTATCAAATAAGAGAGGACGAAGTTAGTGCACTCTTTGACTTGCCAGTGTAGATCGTTCCATCTTTTGTCAGTAACGCCGCACCAACACGGAATTTACTGTAAGGACAATAGGCCTGGAGTAAGGCTTCCCGACTCTTTCTGATAAGGCTGTCGACATCATAGGTTGCCATGGTGACTGCTACTTCATAATTAAATAAATTTTTAAGTTGTTTTTTTTTTGTTTTTTTTTTTGTTGCTTTTTTTTTTAATTGAGACTTAAATACACGAAGTTACGTAGAATTTATTTATATTTATAAATAGTAAAATATATAATTAACTTTTGTTTGACTCAATAAGTTAATTTAGTTCACGTTATCTTTCTGATAAGGCTGTCGACATCATAGGTTGCCATGGTGACTGCTACTTCATAATTAAATAAATTTTTAAGTTGTTTTTTTTTTGTTTTTTTTTTTTGTTGCTTTTTTTTTTAATTGAGACTTAAATACACGAAGTTACGTAGAATTTATTTATATCTATACATAGTAAAATATATAATTAACTCTTGTTTGACTCAATAAGTTAATATAGTTCACGTTACATAATTTTTACGAGTTCTGGTTGCAGAGAATAACATTATGAACTGTAGTTGGAGTTTGAACTACATGCAATTAAAATGACTAGATTACATGAAGACTACTTTTAGAAATGTTCTTATTATTAAAAGAAAGACGTATATTGCCTTAGATGAGTTATATCGTAATAGATATGAAGAAACATTTGTGTAAAATGTTAGACCTAATGCTACATCAAATTGTTTTAATATATTTTTTTTTTAAATGTCACAGAAAATAAAATGTATTTCATGAACAGTCTTACCGTCTTTAAAGGTGTTGAAGTTCCTTGTTGTAATATAGATATCTCAATGTGTAACCAATATCCTATTCACCCCTTTAAATTACCCAATATTTTTTTTTTATTTCTCACCTTGTAACTGTGATCTGGCAATGACTTGAATGTCACGTACCCGCTAGCATTGCCAACTTGACGCTTGATTCTTTGCCAGGTGGCAAAAATTATATTTAGCAAGACAAATTTTAATTAGAATTAAACTAAGCGCAATTTTGTAATATAGGATTGATTGCAATGCAAACCTTATGTCATAGAGGTGTGCTGAGACACGTTATATTTTGGTTTGACGTTTCCAGAATACTATGACTAAAATAAATAAATACTTGTTCTCGATTATGATACACAATTAAGTATTGTTTTTGGTCATCTGTCGACTAAGATAAATTGGAACAAATTGAGAAATAATGAGGAACAATCATTTACAATTATTCACATGTTTGTTACGGTATAGAAGTGGACCTGAAACCATGGTTGTTATCTTACTTATTATCATACATGTTGTGTCGAGTAATGACAATTTAAACTAGAATCAGCTGGATCAGAATTACATACTCCTAACTATACCCGTTTTATGGCGAATAAGAAATTCCCGGCAAGGCTCCGGTAATTATGTACACTAAAATGATAATGGCCAATTATATGTACACAGTAAGTCGGGGAACAAGTGTAACAAATATTTAACTTCATTGAAGTATTGATATCACATATATCCTTGGATCTAATTAGATCGTACATCTTCATGGTTGAAAATGGAAATTAATAACGTAAGATGTCAAAATACATGGTTCTATCTCTGCTCTGTTATTAAAAAGAATCATTTACAAGTAAAATAATGCTTGCTTCATTTGATGTACAAATACGATTGCCTGGATTTAAGGTTTCTGTTGTAAGTGTAACTCAGCACCTTTAGGGCGCATTACTTTTGCCAGTGTAACTCAGTAGGTGTCTCTAGCTGTTTGGGGCGCATTTATATGGACAGTGAAACTCGGTAGGTGTCTCTAGCTGTTTGGGGCGCATTACTATGGACAGTGAAACTCGGTAGGTGTCTCTAGCTGTTTGGGGCGCATTACTATGGACAGTGAAACTCGGTAGGTGTCTCTAGCTGTTTGGGGCGCATTACTATGGACAGTGAAACTCGGTAGGTGTCTCTAGCTGTTTGGGGCGCATTACTATGGACAGTGAAACTCGGTAGGTGTCTCTAGCTGTTTGGGGCGCATTACTATGGACAGTGAAACTCGGTAGGTGTCTCTAGCTGTTTGGGGCGCATTACCATTGACAGTGTCTTTCATACAATTGAGCTAGAACCCACATTTAACATGAGCCTTATTAACATGATCTGGCTTATTGACATGATAATCGATATTTTATTTTTTCAAAAAGTGGGGCAGGGGGCTAGAGGCATTTAAATTCTTAAGAATATATAACACCACAGTATTATATTGCCTCATATGTTGCATTTATTGACAGATTTTCAATACCTCGCTAACAGGTTGGTAAAAGCAATGCTTTATATACCCAATGACAATCTGTGTAGAATGCTCAATATTATGCAATAACTAGAAAAGGTCATTTTATGTACCGGTATTTTAACGCGACTCAGGTTTGTAAACTTTTGATAGTGAATTATTTTGATAGGAAATTCATTTACATTTTTCATGAAGAAATATGACTTCTCTTATTATTACATATATTATCATGCTTGCGCCCAATTTAAGCAGAGCTGTGAGGGATTAGGTGTATAGTATCTAATGGTATTGTAGTGCAAGGGTGCTCCAGTCTGTGACAATACTTTTTTTTTTAAATACAACTCTTACTTGTTTGATAACCTTTAAAGTAGAAATGAGATTTGCAATTATAATATAGCTTCCACATGTGATTTCAATGGCATTACCCTTAAATGCATCGCAGATTAAGTTTGCAACGGTTAAACTCAAAATAATCGTAATGATGTCTAAACAGCCCTCTTGCCACTTCATTGGAAATCTGCCACATTTATGGCCTAATTATTTGCATGGCTCTAGATCTTACAAGAGGTCCACATTGTTCACATTGTTTACAGCATTATGATAATGTGCCCAAAAGGAATTTAAATATTAATTTAAAATAACAATACAAAGATCATGTTATTTTTTTATTTGGGAGGAGGTTGGTTTGTTTGAGGGAGGACGGTGGTGTGCTTGGGGTGGAAGATGGTAGGAGTATGGTGTTCTTAAGGGAGGAAGGTGGTGTGCTTGAAGAAGGAGGGTTGTGTTCTTAAGGGAGGAAGATGGTGTGCTTGATGGAGAAGGTAGGTGTGCTTCAGGAAGGAGGGTAGTGTTTTAGGGTAAGAAGGTGGTGTGTTTGAGAGAGGGGTGGTGTGCTTGAGGGAGGAGGGTGGTGTTCTTAAGGGAGAAGGGAGGCGTGCTTGAGGGAGGAAGGTGGTGGGCTTGAGGGAGGAGGGTGGTGTTTTTGTAGGAGTTGGGATTATGTGCTTTAGGGAGTGGGGGTTGCGTGCTTAAGAGAGAAGGGTGGTGTGCTTGAGGGAATGGGTTTGTGTGCTTGAGGGAGCAGGGTGGTGTGCTTAAGTGAGGAGCGTGGTATGCTTAAAGGAGTAGGGTGGTGTTCTTAAGGAAAGAGGGTGGTGTTCTTAAGGGAGGAGAGTGGTAGGCCTTAGGGAGGAGGATGTTTGATTGAGGGAGGAGTTTTATGTGCTTAAGGGAGGAGGTTGGTGTTCTTAAGTGAGGAGGGTTGTATTCTTGAGATAAGAGGCTGGTGTGCTTGAGTGAAAGGGGTGGTGTGCTTGAGGGAGTTGGGGTGGTGTGCTTGAGAGAGAAGGATGGTGTGCGTGAGAGAAGGGGTGTTGCGTTTGATGGAGTGGGGGATTGTGTGCTTAAGAGATGAGTGTGATATCCTTGAGGGAAGGGGGTAGTTTTGCTTTAGAAAATGTGATGTTGTGCTTGAGGGATTGGGTCTGTGTGCTTGAGAGAGGTGTTATGGGGTGGTTTGCTTGAGTAAAGGGGTTCATGTACTTGAGAGAAATGGAATGGTGTGCTTGAAAGTGGAGAGTGGTGTGCTTGAGGAAAGGCGATAGTGTGCTTGAGGGAAGAGGGTGGTGTTCTTGTGGAAATGGTGTGATGTGCTTGAGGAGAGGGTTGATGAGTTTGAGGGAATGTTTGGTGTGCTTGAAGGAAGCGGGTGATGTGCTTGAGAGAAGGGTGGTGTGCTTGAGGGAGGAGGATGGTGTTCTCGAGGGACGACGGGGTGCTTGAGGGAGGTGAGTGGTGTGCTTTTGGGGGGAGGTTGTTGCGCTTCAGAGAGGGGGATAGTGTGAATATAGGTAACTGGTGGTGTTCTTGAGGAAACGGGTGTAGCGTGCTTGAAGGTGATTGGTGTGCTTGAGGGAGGAGGTAGCTCTGCTTAAGGGAGTTGTATGGTAGGCTTTAGGGAGGAGGTTAATGTGCTGAGTGAAGAGGATGTTGTGTTTAAGTGAGCAGGTTTATGTTCTTAAGGGTGGTGTGTTTGAGGGAGTAGGGTGGTATGATTAAGGGAGGAGTGGGATGTGCTTAAGGGACGAGGGTTGTGTGCTGGAGGGAGGAGCGTGGTGTGCTTGAGGGAGTTGGGATGGTGCGCTTGTGGGAGTGGGGGTGGTGTGCTTGAAAGAGGATCGTGATGGATTTGAGGGAGTGGGTTGGTGTGCTTGATGGAGGTGGGTCGTGTGCTTGAGGGAGGAGTTTTGTGTGCTTGAAGAAACGGGGTTGTGTGCTTGAGGAAAGGTCATTTTTGTGCCTGAAAGTGGAGATTTGGGTGCTTGAGTAGGGGGTTTGTGTGTTTGTCGGAAGCGGATGGTGTGTTTGAAGAAAGGGGGCGGTTTGCTTGATGGAAGGGGATGATGTGTTTGAGGGTAGTGGGTGGTGTTCTTGTTGAAATGGGTCGATGTGCTTGAGGGAAGGCGTGGTGTGTTTGAGGGAATGTTTGGAGTGCTTGCGTGAGGGGGTGATGTGCTTAAGAGAAGGGTGGTGTGCTTGAGTGAGGTGAGTGGTGTGCATTTGGGAGGAGATTGTGCTTGAGGGAAGCCAATGGTGTGAATGAAGGGAATGGGTGGTGTACTTGAGGGAACAGGATGGTGTGCTTGAGGAAAGGGGATGGTGTGCTTGAGGAAAGGGTGGTAGTGTCCTTGAGGAAGTGGGGGTAGTGTGCTTGAGAAACTAGGTGGTGTGCTAGAGGGAGGATGTGGCTTTTCCTAAGCGAGGAGTGTGGTAGGTGGTAGGGAGAAGTTTAATTTGCTGAGGGAGGAGGGTGGTGTTCTTAAGGGAAGCGGAGGGTGTGTTTGAGGGAGTTTGGTTGTATGATTAAAGAATGAGTGTGGTGTGCTTGCGGGTTTATGGTGGTGTGCTTGAGGGAGTGGGGTGGTGTGTTTGACGAAGGAGGGTGGTGTGCTTGAAGGAGAAGATTGGTGTTCTTAAGGGAGGAACGTTGTGTTCTTCAGGGAGGAGAGAGGTGTGTTTGTGGGGGTAAGGTTGTGTCCTTGAGTGACTGGCAAGAAGTGCTTGGGACAGTTGTGGTCGTGTGCTTGAGGAAATGGGGTTGGTGTGCTTTATAGATGAGAGTGATGTGCTTGATGCAGCGGGGTGGTGTGCTTGCGGGAGTGGGGATGGTGTGCTCGAGTGAAGGGGTGATGTGCTTGAGGGAAGGGTGTTTGGTTTGAAGGAATGGGGTGGTGTGCTTGCGGGAGTGGGGATGGTGTGCTCGAGTGAAGGGGTGATGTGCTTGAGGGAAGGGTGTTTGGTTTGAAGGAATGGGGTGGTGTGCTTGCGGGAGTGGGGATGGTGTGCTCGAGTGAAGGGGTGATGTGCTTGAGGGAAGGGTGTTTGGTTTGAAGGAATGGGGTGGTGTGCTTGCGGGAGTGGGGATGGTGTGCTCGAGTGAAGGGGTGATGTGCTTGAGGGAAGGGTGTTGGGTTTGAAGGAATGGGGTGGTGTGCTTTAGAGAAGAGGTTGGTGTGCTTTAGGAAAGGGGGCGTTGTACTTGAGGTAAGGGGGCGCTGTGATTGAGGGAATGGGGTGGTTTGGTTGAGGGAAGGAGTTGTGTGCTTTAGAGAGGAGATTGGTGTGCTTGACT